ATTAAAAAAAAAAATCTAAAGGTGCAACAAATCTTGTGGATTGCACCTCATGTTATTCCTATAAATTGGTATCTTAAGCATATCTGGCAGCCTACCAAACAACCCACCGTAAATGTTTGAGGATCTCTCAAGCATGAAGCTGCAATTGATCAGAACAGCATAGACAACTGTTATAGCACCTTCATCATATAAAGCAGCAGCAACCGTCTACACCAAAAATGTGTACAATTAGCGAAGATCTACTAATCAAATATAGCTGTAAAACAGAAAATTACATACTGAGTTCTCTGCAATAAATGCTAAAATTCGAAATGCTGTCGTCAACTGTGCGATGGAAGAGTCATGAAGTGAAACACCATCAAAAGACTTTTCAGATATAATTTTTCCAAGATTCTCCACAACATTAATGTCAGGAACACCCAAAGTTTCTCCAACAACATTCTCAACACCAGTCAAATCTGGAGAAAGAATGCTCGTTGAGGATAAGTTAGCATCTCCTCCAGAAGCCAAGAGGGCAGCATACCGTAGAAGACCAATAACCCCGTTTTTATGATAAGCTACACCAGCATCTATCCATTTTAACAGCCGTGCTGGAGCATCTTTCCTATTGGACCCCGGAGAAGAAGAATGTAAAGCTTTATGAAGTTCCATAGCATGTCCAATCCAAGAATAGAGAGAAGTTGCAGATGAATCAGTTACAATGACTTCAAAAATCTCAGCAGCTGAGTGAAATATTGCAAGATTCAGCGGTGAAGCTCCTGAACCCCAGCAATCTCATTCAAGTAAGTAAATACATAATGAACATCCAAATAAGAAGATCAGTATTTCAAACCTAATCATAGAGCAAGCAGCATACCAGTAGTCTCAATGGCTGGCTCCAGTTCCTTGACTGAATGTAAAGTTTCAATCAAAATTGAAATGACCTAGAAAGGGGAGGGGAAAACCTTGAGATAACAAATTATAAGAAATGTAATCTAACATGTAAGGAACTAACAATAGCACGGAAAGATATACGAGGATTTGACTTGCAACAGGATTCTAAAATTTAACTATCCTAATAGCTGCTTTGTGTATTCCACACTTTGGATTTGCCTTTCTAATGCTGAGGACGAACCTTAACCATATTAAATTATAACATCTAAGAAGAGCTTATAGCATCCATTGTGATACATGCTACATTTGAGGCAAGCACAAAAATAAACATAAATTAAAA